ATTCGTAACATTGTTTTCAACAACAGTGACATCATAATGTTTGTGAGAGATTATGCTTTTTGTTCGCTAATTTCTTTGCAATGATACATCACCCCTAGAATCGTGAAAAAAGAAACCTGTCATCAGCTGCATTCGACGATGTACCTTGTCTTGGTCATCAAAGGCCTGACGTAAGACATTTTCCAGGCGCTTTTTCTCGATACCATAAAAATAGGATCGGAAGCCCTCTCGAGATCTAAGTTGGTCATGTCGTTCCCTCAGCCGCCAAACAAGGTTATGATCAGTCTCGCGATTGCCAGGACCAAGTAGTAATCCCAATTTTTTTTGTGCCGTTTGCTGATTCCTGGCACCTGAGGTTGCCTGAAAAAGCTCAACGTTGTTGCACGAGACATGACATTTTTCCTCAAGACCTGCCCGCAAGTTGAGGCCCTCTTCGTTTGTGTTAAGATCCAGCTCGTCACGCCACTTTTCGATCGCATGAAGACTTTCAACCACGTTAAAAAATATCTTTCGTGGGGCTAATGTTGGACTGACCACTTTTGTCAGTATAGCTGGGCATAGGCGTAACCTATATACGCTAAAATGCAATCATTCGTTCATTACTATGCAATTTGTGACACATATACACCCATGCATCGTACTCACTAAATACTTACTCGTCGTCAGCGTCGCTGCCGATAGAGCCAGATCTGACTACATCTTTTTGATGAGAGACCGAGAAACGCTCAAGTTGTTGTTTTCTGCTTAGTGAAGTGGGTAAATAGCGATTCGCATTAGAAAGATCTACAGTCGGGGAAAGCACTTCTAAATTCCAGTCGTGGTGATGTCCTAAAGCCTTGGTACAGTTAAACATTTTCGCCCTCGGTGTCTCTGACGGCAAGCACTGTCGCTTACCACCACTGCCTCCAAAAGCGAGAATGTCTACATCTCGCTGCTTATTTGTTTCACTACGTAAATCTGGCCTGAAGTCTCTTGCATAATCAACAAAGGCTTCTCGAACTAGAGACCCATGGCGCAAGACGCCATACGACGAGTTGGGCACGCTCTTTACTCGCGGGTCACTATGAGCAATAATGTCGATACTGTTTTTACGACAACTTTTGCTGCGATTAAATGTAATATCTTCCGAAGACATAGCTTCCTCAACGACAAGACAAATGCCAACTTGAGACGTTACAGCACTGTCTAGCTGCCACGTCTTTAGCTCTTCGATAAGTGCGTCACGCGACTTGTACTTTTGAGTATCGAGCTCTTTTGCCTTATCAAGAGTATCAGTAATTGAGATTCTTCCTGCTTGGGTCTCATGACGATCATATTTTTCATGATTTAAAAAAAAACGAGAGTACCCACCACCACCACTTGAAACGTGAGAGAAGCTCCTTGTAGACTGACAGAAACGGTGGGAAAAATCAACCTCAGCTTCATGTCGGTGCCGCCGCAATGCGCTCGAAACGTTGCCAGCAAACACAATGTCAGTTCCATGGGTAAGTCGACTTCCCGAGTCATCGGCACGAAGATCGTGCGGACTTGTCTTGCTTGAATATTGAAAAAACTTTAAATTCTTGTCTGGCGGCATTTCCTCCAAGCTCTTTGCCGCTTCACTAATTGATTTATCTGCTTTGATCTGAATGATGGCGTCAAGTTCCGATTCTGATAGTCTAGCTCGTTCGCTGTCACAAACGATCTTGTCATCGAATTTCACGAGTTGCGGCAAGAAATTGGCAACAATCTGACGGTACTGCTTAACTGTTTCAATTGGATTTCCCGCCAATTTCAATGATCTAAGTTGTAAGCAGAAGGCTATAGCAAAACTTCAGTGGAGAGGTTAGTCATAAAAGTAAACGACAGCTTGTACCTAATTGCTCAATTTGTCGAAATTCTGTCATTTGATTTCCTTCGAGATCTAAACAGCCCAAGAGGTAATCAATTCCACACTTGCTAATTGTTTTAAGTTTGATGCACCGTACCGATGATACCAATTTCATCGTGCATCGTCAAAGGGCTGACATCGTTTACATTGTTGTGCTGCAAGTACAGCTCTTGCAGATTCATCAGCGCTCCAATACCGTCCAAATTCGATATTTGGCATTGCGCAGCCCACAAAACGCGCAGTGAGCGAAGTGAAGTGCCGAGATCCCGAAAGCTTCGAAGGCTGCTTTGCTGAAAGTGTAATTGTTGAAGTGACGGCAAGAGTTCACCAATAACTTCAACTGATTGTTTCTCGGAATCAATAGAGATATGCAGCGAGGTCACACGCTCAAGATTAGACATTTTGGACAGTTGTCTCTACCAAGAATTAAACTAAATTATGATAAGACCCACTATCTATGTCATCATTTCAACTTACTAATTTCTCTTCTGTGATGTCGTCAAATGGGTTGTCGAGTTGGATACTGTCCCTTCTCCTGTTTTTGTTGATATGCTTGTTCATCGGAGATACTGAAAACAGCGACCCTGACGCACTAGGGCTCAATATATCTCCTAAAGCTGGTGTTGGGTTGCATTCCCGTGGCAGCGTTCGAATGCGAAGTCTGGTCTTCACGTCATCAGATTTCAAGCTGCCTGTACCAGGGTTTGTCTGCTTGATCATCAGAGATCTGGAAATATTTTCATCTATCTCGTGGCGCATATCGCTCAACACGACCGTGCTCATCGCTTCGGATCTAGATATACTCTAGTCAATTGCCACGCTGTTTTTTCGTCTCGACAAGTCTTCTATAAATACTCGTCAGAGATAAATATACATTAATTAGCATTCTGTAAAAGGGACCTCGAATGTTAGATAGGAAATTATGGTATGTATGGTTGTTCCTCCACAGGCAATTTTCAGATGTAAAGCACATACATCGCCTGCTGAAACATAAGCGGAGCAGAGCGAGTGAGACCCCATGCGCACTTTTGCGCAGCAGTCGAACTTATGAGAAACGCTTGTGATAAGCATATTGGCAAAATGGAGCTTACAACGTTGAGAATTTGATGAGCTTCTTTTCAATGCTGAAGTTTTGACTAGCTTTTGGGCGATGTCTTTGAATTGCAGGATGAGGATAATGCGGCGAAAGAATAGTTATCAAACGAATCTTAGGTTGACTGTGTGGTAGGTTTAATTTGTTCATTTTTTGTTAAGAATATAGACATTGATACCAGTCTCATGACAATGACTACATAGAGCGGAGATGACGTCACGTATTTTTCATACATACTCTTCAGATCAATGCCAATCATTGCAACTACATTGTGCAATATACACACCTTTGAAAAGCAATCTGTCGACTAGAGCCTTAAACCAATACACGCTTGTTGTTATGAGATCCAGGGCATTTTTAAGATATAATGAATACTTAATTTTCCATGCCAGTTGATAAGGTGGAAATTATAATAAATCTTACGTCAAATGTCACTCAAAGATACTGCAATCCACACGAACAAAAAATGGTCCTGCAATTTGTACTCAGCACTTCGACCGTGCCGAATCAAAGTCATCACGGCAGGACTTATACTTATGATCGGGGGTCGTACCAAAAGACTGGATCACGTTCCGGATGACGCTTGGAGAACAGGATAGGTTCAACTTTAGATTCAGCATTCCCGTGATCATACATGGAAAGACAGCCTGGTTTGTTGGAATGTCTCGATGGCAGGAAACCCATGAATTTCTTGCGGTCATATGAGCTTTGCAGCTGAAATTTGGATGCCGAGGTCACAGGCGTCCGATCTGGCACACCCGTGATGATAAACTTGGCTCGGTCATCAACTTTGTTGCTGAATGTAAGCTTTTTCGATATCTTCTGCATACGGAGCACAGTGCCGTCAGTACGAGCGAACGAGATGCAATCTCCACCATAGAGTAGCCCGTCTGTATTGTGTCCAATAATCCGAAGCGTATCACCGTCCTCAAAATGACTGTGATGGTAAATGGCATGGCAGCGGATACGACGGGAAAATGGATTCTTGTGCTTTCCACGTCGTTTCGGATATCCCTGGACTTGGATGATCTGACCTGTCACTCTTGTAAACGACAAGTGGAGCTCAAGTCCATGATACATTGGCAAAGAGGGAGTCTCGCTGTCGCGTAGATGGGCTGTCATTGTGGCAGACATATCAGGCGCTTGTACTATACCCTGCGCTGTATCTATACAAGGACGAATTATGTGGCTTAGCAGACGGCTAAGTAAACGGATGTTATGTGCTATTCCATCCGCTCTCTCATGTGGATGTCTTTTGTAGAATTTCGAGTTCTGACTATCGATAATACGCTGCAACGAATCGGCTTTGCATACAGTCTGATCCGGGTCGTGAGAGACACGGCTGTTGTCCACCAAGTAGTTCGACGATTCTTCGCTGTACTCATTCGTAACCGCATCAGCTGTATCACCGTCGTCAGTCTCAACTAAGTGGCCAATTACAATCGGCAAAATGTTTTTTGGAAATTCTGTGTTAGTCAAAAGGACGTGCGGCGGAGTCGGAGATGCCTCGTATTCTGTCGATAACATGTCGACGGTTAAACTTGATGGGATCGAATGGGTTCCGGTCATCAGTCGAGCTACATTCTCAATGGTCGGACGAGTTGTATCGTCGTTTCCGTCCGTGTCGACATCCAAGAATGAACTGGCTAGGTTAATTACGGTCAAAACTGGATGATGGGTGTCCATCTGACTCGGAGTCGATGATGTACAGGAGTCTGTTGCTTTACTTGATCTTGTGTCGTTCAATGATTCAGTCCAGCGCATTGTTAACCGACAGAGCGGATTTAGGATGTTTGATACGCGAGTAGATGTGGACATTGAAGACGTTGTGTAGGCACGACGGCGTGTCGACCATGTCGGCGCCTCTTCACAGAGGACAGCAATTTCGGCTGTGTCGTCCTCCTCCGATTCGTCGAAGCCGTTGTAAAGTGTGTCGGCGTAGCCTTTATAGACTGAAGCAGTACGTTTTTGGGACTGATCTCGGATTGATCTAGGGTCTGTATCACCAACAGTCTGCCGACGCATCAAAGGCGGAGACGACTTAACAGCTGAACGCACTGTCACTTTGCAATTGACAGAATTCATGTTAAATGACACAAAAGGAGAAGTATGAATGCCTTTAGAGGCTCCTGCTTGCTTAAAATGATGAGTCGTGCGCAGCACTCGTCAAATACGAATTTAATGTCGGCACTCGAATATATGTCTAGATGCCATCAGACGTAGGTGGAGGAGTAAGGAAACTCAAAGGCTGAACAGCTCGCGGTATAATACGACACCTACTTGAACAAGTGTGCGTCACACATGGTTGGGACTGTCTATCCCGTAAACACCTAATTGAGTCCATAAACCTCGGACCCACAAGTAAAGGCTTGCTTGAATGTCTTGCTAGTAACGCAGGTGGTCACCATTTGCCAAATTCCACCAAGTCATGTATTATATTTAAACGGTCTAGTGATGCAGCTAGGCATTAGACTAGTAGACTATAACATTAGTGCATAATCACTATGCAAAAGCCTTCCCAAATTGCAACATTTGACATCGAGATTCGACCTAGCATCTTGAGTTTAACTTCGAAGCAGGAGAGCAAAGTTTAACAATGAAGACGACCAGTGTTAGATTGGCTCTTGAGCGTTCATAGAGTTTGATTGGTGTTCCTTTCGAAAGATTCCATCATCTAGTATAAACATTTGATATTATCTAACCTGTTACCTATCGCTACCAGCATCACTCCTATACATAACTCCCATACAGTTCCTTACCGAAGTCTGGCTTACTTTGTCCCTCAGAAATCAAACGAATAGCAGCCGCAAGAAAGCGCTGAGCGTTTGAACCGACAATCTTCCTGAAATCGTCAGTTCAGGACTGACTGGTACGTGTTCAGGCAAAAGTTAGATTGAATATATGCATTATTTTTGATTTTGTTCTCGAGATCATGAATCTAAGGTAGCTGGAATGAACCTAAGAACATGCATGTGATCTGCCCGTTCCAAGAAGCGGAGAGCGACTCAACGCTGCAGGGCTGACCATGAGATCAACATCGTTTTGAATGAAATGACCCTGCTCAAAGAGCCCAGATCGATTGTCGGCAAGTATCCAAGTCATAACGACCATCGATAATGCTTCATGACGTCGTGTCAAAGGCTTTGGATACGAACCTTACTGTAGCGTACGTACATTTGTGCAGAGGCTCAGAATACTGCTTTGATGAGAATGGTGCGGGGCTTGAGCTTGTTCGAGCCTAAAACTTGGTCGGTAGTTATACCAGCTGTCTCAAGGAGATGAGCAGGGTTGTAAGCGCAAGAATCTAAAGGATAACAGTTACCATCGACATTCAGCTCGTACTTTGTATTTCGAAGTCAAGCACTATACGACGCTCTCGTCAGATGTCAATTTACTGAATGTGGCAGGTAAAATTGTAAGTCGGAGAAGCAGCGTGTCCCCCTCACCCAAAGAGCAAATTGGGATCGATTGTCTTCAGCACTTACACCAGTATCTATTAACTTAGATACGGTATACATGGAGAGTACGGGCCCTCCTGGCTGTTGCTACTCCAAGCGTAGGCGGTACTCCTGAGGAAATTCGACCGTTGGGTCAAAAGGCGCGCGTAATATGAATCTTATGCTGTCGATTCGCTCTACATTCAAGCGGAAGGCCAGCGGGCATCAGATAGATTATATCTATGACAAAGACTGCGGATGGATTGGCGGGATACCGAACCCTTATCAAAATAGAAAATAAGTACGGAGCGCGAAATATGTGCAGATGAGAGGTGGAGCATTAACTGTAATTTGACTGAGTCCTATGTATTTCCTCTTCAGATTTTAGTTTTAGTAGTTTGTATAGTTTGAAAATCTGTGTTCCGCTCCCGAGTGATGCTTACGAGGAGATTCACTGAGCAAGATGCACGGCAACCCCGTTGCACTCGGTATCACTGGCCTTTAATTTGACGACTAATTCTTGAAACGACAGAAGATGAACGTTGACATATTTTCCTTTGTTACCCTAGATCAACAAGCAAGAAAAATTGCCTCTTCTCTTTTGTTACTCTCTAGAAGACATTAAAGCTGATGGCCCAACGATGAAAGCGAGAAACGAGCGGCTGAACGCTTTCCCATGCTATCACCGACTCCCACGTAGCACTTAAGAGCGAGACCGCTTCTGTTAAGCATTAAGCCGTATGAGGAAAAGATGGAAACGAATTCCCTCTGAACACGGCTGTTGCAATGACCACTGACCCCAGCCATGCTTTTGGTATAACAACCGCTCGTGGTACTAGCAATATTTAAGCTGGGAGGCCGCGCGCAAAAATGTGACACAAAGGTTAAGCCCTTCTTGATGCACTAGGAATTTGAAAGCTCAGCATGCATTCGAGTCACAGGTGTTCCGAGACGCTATGATGTAATCTTAGCTTTCATCTACTCGTTCAGGGAAGAATGGACTACTGGAGTCCGTCTAAGAATTGAGATCTCTAATATCCACGATGTCAGCTGACCGTTTTCCGAAATCAATAATAGCAGCGGTGCTCGTGGATGGTCACCGTAAAAGCGGCTTAAACTAGGACTTCCTTGCGTACTCCTCTCCTCTTTAATAAAAGGTAAATATCACGTCGCAAATTTGTTAGTATGGATCCGTTGGTATGCGAGCAGGGGCTGTGGCCGCGCCAGGGACATCGATCTGAGCCAAGCTGAGAATAAAGAGAGTGACTTATTAGTTGTGTGCAGTACCCTTAATATATTGCGGCTTTTTATACAAAATGCCATTCAATCACGCGCTGTAAACCCTCCGTTCTCGATTGAGATTAAAAAAAGATCGAGCTCCCACAACGTGCCGACGAAAACCCTTTCTTCGTTTGACGTCGAGTCACAATAGATACTAGACAACTAAATTAAAGAACTGAGTTATATTGTACCATATGGAGGTCAAGGCAAACAATTTTTGACCCCAAAGGAAGCGATACTCTAAGTTTTAACTGTATTTGATATACTAGACTTGTTATTAGCCGCCCTCAAATAGTCATACCGTCTAAAAGAGACAGAGCTTATTGTTCACTTTCTAGGGCGTTGACACTAACTCTCCGGGCTTTGAAGATCCATTATAAGTCAGAGGCTTCGTGCAGCAATTTTTTACGCACATTGTTGCGATTGCGATATCTCGAACACTCAAATCAAGTATCACGATTTTGCTATCGTGGATCGATATGTGATGCTAGCCAGACCTGAACTTGATAACTGATCTCATCCCAGATCTGATATTGATGAGTGTTGAAAAATTCGAAGTCCATGAACGTAGGAATTATGCACCACACTTTTAGTCGGTTTGGTGATATATAAACAAATCTCTGCTATAAAGCAGATGCTCATTTAAAGCGATTACACTACTGCAACAGCATTTGTGCGGGGTAGACATTATTCAATATGATTAAGAGCAAAATTGCTAAGCGTTAAAGCAGGTTGGCAAGGAAAAAGTTGCTCTGAGCCGCGGTCTCAAATCAATTTTGAATTGTGACGGAAAGGAGCAAGAAAAATTAAAATTTTGCTTTTTCTGCACGTTATAAGTAAGCAACCGTATGTAGCAAATTTAGGTATAAACCTTGCTGAGTTGGGTAAAGACGGCTATGAGCTGTGGTCTCCTCGGAGAATGCCTGTGGACTAGTTTCGTTTTGTATTTCCTAGTAAGAAAGACAAATTCTTGTTGATTGTGACAGCACAGCTTATTACACGCCAGGTTTAACAATTCTATACGTTCGTGAATGGAGTGTCTCGAGCAGAATAAGAGAGATTAACCTCCATCATCAAATCAAGTAAAAGCTCTCATACAGCTTGAGGGATTATCCCATAGGATGCATACAAAATTTGTAACGACGATCCTTGAGCCGATAGTACTGGTCAGAAGATGATCCCGACGTCATTCGTGTGGGAGAGGTCGCCCAAAATGTCATGGACACTTTCTTTCGTGAACAGGACGAAGAGTGTTTGTGTATCATCCTACTCACCGGGCTCGAACACAAGCAAGCCACTGCTTCCATATGTGCCACACGGAAGTTTGGATATGAAGTCCATACTTACATACATCCAGCTGTCGGTTGGCTCTACCAACGACCGAAGTGGGGCCTGAATGGAACTCGATGTTCTCAAGTCCTCGCAAATTCACACTCTCGCGTATCCACTTGTACATGCGTGGACAATAGTAATTTAGGGAAATACTGAGAAACGTTTTCTTTTTCCTACGTCCGAGATTGCCACCCGAAGGACTCTAATAGTTCTTATGTAAGAGACGATGGTGCAATACTTCGTCATTTGGAACAATAACGCTTGCTGTATATCCGTGTCCAACCGCATAGTGCAACAATCCGTTGTGTTTTCAAAATGGTAAGCACGCGATCTTGTGCGAGACGGAAGACCTTGCAATGCTTAGTTGGAAGAGTCATTGAAATACCTCAACAAGCCCTGACATGTCTCATCAGGATTGCACCCTTCGACAATTTCTTTGCGCACTGTAGCTGTAGCCTGCACTCAGATCATCTGAACATCTTCGCATTGTCGACATGACTCGTGTATGCATTTGCTCCTGGACTTTGGATCATAGTCCAGAGGTCTCGAGAACGCATCGACTAAG